TAGGAAATGGAACGATTATATCGAGTTGAATTATTAGGTGTGCCACCAGGAATTTTAGTCCACTGTGTTGGGCTACACAATTTTCACACCAGAATCTATCTCACACCTTTATTAATCTACAATTGGTCAATGCATCGAGTATAGTTGTCGCATCTAGTCTAGTAATTCTGCTCTATACCGAGAGCTTCTTAACAAAATCCAAACAAGAATCTGCAACATTCTCTGTCCTGACCTGGCATCACGGTTCCTGTTATTTTCACCCACAAACATAACGTAATTTCTTTATGCTTTTTCTATATCTTCGCAGTAATTGTTCCGATGACTAACTCGGCATCACGAATTAATTACAGCACTAGATTAGCAGCTCATCATTTTAGTGCTGAAATTGCTATTGATGCTATCGGTGTGAAGGAGATGATCTCAGCGTGCGGCATCTTTAGAAAGTGCCTGAAAATAACACCACGGGTTGACAGAAGCATAGTGAGTGAAACTGGACAGACAGAACACTTGAGAGTCGCCGATGGTTGTTCCAGCACGAAGTCACAAGTCATCGTGACTGAGGGTTTGAGTGTGCTGGTTTTATTCAGATTGTTGATCAAGCTAGATAACACGCACTCCCAGAAACTGTAACTAAGGTTTGCTCAGTATAGTTGCAGTATAAACCACAGGTGGGCTCTGCTGAATAAACACAAATCTGCCTGAGCAGCCGTCTGCAATAGGGATTAGCCGCTCTTGCATGCGAGTATCCTCGAATACACGTGTCCAGACATTACCCCTTAAGTTCTTGTCAACGGTGATCTTCAAAAATGCCTATTTGCATCCTTTTCTTTTACTGGCCTCTCTCCTCAAAAAACATTTTATCAGTTTTCTTCATTCAACGAAATTTCTTGCGTTCAGGGAATGATAGTTTATTTTACGTTGATTAGTAACTTTATTGCCTTTCTTGGAGTGAAATGATTAAAAAGATATTTAATGAGAAAAAAATGGCAAACATGGATATTCGTGCCCTCATAAAAACAGAATGTCAGAAAGACGTTTTTTTTTCATTGACACCGCTATTGTTTTAACTACCTTCCATCCTCTGCAATCTTTGTTGTTTTAAAATTAGAATTGCAATAAATTTCAAGCATATGGTGAATGTGAACATTTATATTTTTTGGTTCTTGAGAAATTACAAGAAAATATTAAGCCTTATTTTTTATGAGATTATTTATTTACAAGTGTAATCTTATATTTACAAAATTCTTAAAACTAATACATTTGCAGTATAACTAATTCAATGCAATATTTATTCATAATTTTTTCAATAGTTATTCATAATTTTTTCAATAGTTATTCATAAATTTGTAAACATTTATTAAATTATTAAAATATGTAAACCAACTATAAGGAAATCCTTATTATTTACCATTTTATAAAGTTTGAATTCGGTGAGAATTACCCGATTTTTTGCCAACCATTCCAATAAACAATAATTATTTACTATTTTATAAAGTCTGAATTAATTGAGAATTACCCGATTTTTTTGTTTTACCATTTTATAAAGTTTGAATTAATTGAAAATTACCCGATTTTTTGCCAACCATTCCAATAAACAATAATTATTTACTATTTTATAAAGTTTGAATTAATTGAGAATTACCCGATTTTTTATTTTACCATTTTATAAAGTTTGAATTAATTGAAAATTACCCGATTTTTTGCCAACCATTCCAATAAACAATAATTATTTACTATTTTATAAAGTTTGAATTAATTGAGAATTACCCGATTTTTTTGTTTTACCATTTTATAAAGTTTGAATTAATTGAAAATTACCCGATTTTTTGCCAACCATTCCAATAAACAATAATGTTAAATAGTGTTAATTAACAATCTGAGAAATAAGTAAAGTTTATTTGTTGTCAATTATCAAGAAGAAAAAATGTTTAAATTATTTTTCCATCGTTTAAGTTTTAGTAACATTCTAATAATTTCTTTTTTATACAAAATAAATGCATTGTCTGGGAGTGAAGTTGGTTAAAATAATAGCGGTGTCAATAGAAAAAATGTCCCTTTGACACGTTATTTTTTTTTGAGGGGGTCGCGGGCACAAAGGTCCATGTTTATTTTATAATTTTATTCCGATTTGATTTTAGCTATGACCAGCAACAGGACAAGAAAACGACTATTTTTTTGGAAGTGTCACTGAACCTGAAATCCGTGTGTAATGTTTACGAATCGGAAAATACGAACGTGAAAGAAGGAGCGGTGAAAAGAGGAGGGGGTTAAGGAAAGATTTGTAGACGGGGTAGGTGAGAAACCTCAAGGAGATGACGATGATGTGGGTAGAGGACAGTAATTTGTAGGGATGCGAAGACACCGTCAGTCAGTCGCATCTTTCCGCCCGACAGAAACTGGAACACTAGGAGGTCGACAAAAGAGATTGAGAACAGGGAAAAATAATTAAAGAAACTAAAAAAAAAGGTTTCAGAAAATGAGACAGTAGAAAGAAGCAAGTAAAAATAAAACAATACAGATGTGATTCATGGCACCAAAAGACGACAGTGCGATGCGCCACCTTTTCTAGAATCTTTTTTATTGAATTTTTTTCCACGGAATATTGTTCGTTTAAGCGATATTATTGACCAAGATGGGATTTTCCCATGAAGGGTTGGATGGGGTGCATTTTTGCGAAAGTGCCTTAAAATAAGAAAGTAGAAAATGAAACAGAGAAGAAAATACACAACAAAAAAAAAATAGAGAAATTTAAACTTCTCATCTGTATCCACTTCTCGAAAAGCCGTCTGCCCTTAGTGGTGTCTGATAATCGATGTCGCTAGCCACAATGCTGGCCACAATCTAAAATTGAAACTCTTTTTAAAGCGAGAAAAAGATTTGGACCTTCCAAGAAAACGGGTAATTCGATGAAATATCAAAGTGACAGTTGTACCTATCATTAACGGAGCATTTGGATCAGTCTAGAAGAAATTGGAAATACGACGAAAAATTTAAACCATCGAGACTAATTCAGGGTGACCCAAAAAAATGGGATTTTATGAAGTACGTATTGCCAGACATGAGCAAGTGGCAACACTGCAAGACAGTGACCTTGAGCAAGTAAACATTTTGCTATTTAGAATTCAAGATGAAATTCACAGTATCCCAGCTGAGATGTTGCAGCAGTCAATGATGAATCTCAACAGCAGATTTCAAGAATGCATTCCTACAGGAGGATGCCATCTACAGGACGTAATTTATAAAAAATGAAAATTCCATCATTGTTTCTTAAATGGCATGATTTAAGGTTTCAATTACTATGAATAAAATATTTTTCTTCCATCACTATTTGTTTTATTGGATTGTTAAAAAGTTCCCGTTTTTTTTGGGGGGGAGGGTCACCCTATATAAGTGCCATGATACTTCAGGGCGTGAACGATCAAGGCTCTTTCACAAATTCCTACCTTTCGTTTGTTTATGTAACTTTGATCCTTTATCATATCTCTTTGTAATAGTTCTACCGTATATTTTTACTAATCAATTAAATAGGTAATTCTTGTTTATCTCTGTTACAAATGCCTTAAGTATGTTTTGTGGATGTCTTATTCTCCAAGCTTTCTTTTTTTTTTCAAAGTTAATAACTACACTAAGTCAAATTTCTAAAATATAAAATCTGAAATAGTTGGAATTTCTAGGACACATAATGAGGAAAGACGGCTCGGAAAATTTGATTATCACGGGACATATCGAAGGGGAAAAGGACGGATGGGGATATTCATTTTATAAAGATGTCACATTCAGTCCTACCACATACATTTTTATATCAAGCTTCCTTTTTTAATAGGTGTGCACAGAAAAAGGTTTCTTTCTCCGATCGAGTTCAGGTGAGTGAGGAGCGATAACCAGTTAACTCAATCTATTGTTCTCTTTTATGTTTGCTTCTAATTTCCTATTGCCAATTACCGGAGTTGTTTTTCCTTTTTTGCCCATTTTAATTATTTCCGGTTGTATTGCTTTATTTTATTTATCTCTTTATTTTATTCGCTTTAATTTTAAAATGACATTGACTGAGCACTTAAAATATTTTAGAGGAGGTTTGAAAATTTTTTAAATAGAGGAAATATCACGAAAAATTAAAACCTTCGAGACTATTCTTTATGTCATAACACTTCAAGACGTGGACGATCATAGCCCTCCACAATGTCCTATCTTTCGTTGCTCTACATAATTTTTTAAACTTTACCCCACCTCTTTATACTAGGTCTAAAATATATCCTTACATATCCATTAAATAGGTAATTGTTGTTTACCCCTGCTACAAATACCTTAAGTATGTTTTGTGGATGTCTAATTCACTAAGCCTTCTTTCTTTTCTAAGTTAATAACTACATTAAGTCAAATTACTAAAATATAAAATGAAATTTAAAAAAGAAATAAATACTTGCGCGATAGTTATCATTGAGTGACTTCAATTCTCATTGTCTAACTAAAGAGACCGTACAGATAGTGTAGTAGATCAGTTGAAATTGAATGAAGCTTCATAAATTATAACATGTAAAACGTATTTGAATCGAGTTCAGATCAATGGGGGAGCGATAACCTGCTTTATTATTATTTTTTCTCTCGTCTTTTTTATTAAACTACCGTATTTTTTATTTCCTTTTTTGTCTCTCTTTTAATTATATTGCTCCTTTTTTATATATATAATTAAATTTCATACCTATAACAAGATCTTAAACTATAAATACTTGAATATACCTCAAATATACTGGAAGGATTATTCCTTCCCTTATATAAAAGATGACATGAACTTTTGCGTAATCTAAAAAGAAACCGTAAATTATAATCCCGGTTGACGTTAAAAAAAATAAAAATAAAAATAAAAATAAAAAAATAAAAAAACGAGTATTGTCATCAAAACCAATCGATACCAGGCTTTTTAGTTAAAATGAATTTAAAATTATCCGAATGTTATAATCAATGTTCTGGGTATGTTTTTCATTTCTTATTTCATGTTGCCTTACGGCTACATCACGTTGAAACACAGGTTCTCGTACGACCACCGAAAGCAACCTCGAACCCGGTCAGTACTTAGATGGGTGACCCCTTGAGAATACTAAGTGTTGTAAGCTTTGATGTGCGGGTGGTGTAATGGATAATGGCTCGGAATTGTTAATCGGAGAGCCGAGTTCTAATTCTAGTTGGGTTCTTTATATTCCCTTACGCCCCCAAACCCCTGGGAACGATAGGAATCCACCTCTTCTCCCGCAAGCTATGGGTTAATTAGAAAGACTTGTATCATTATTAAATCCCCACTCCCACAGATTTTTTTTGTTCTTAATTAACCTGCAAAGGATTGATAAGCCGTAAGAACCTAACCAATAAATTTTCATGTTATTTATTTATAGTGTATTTTCTTTTTTGATAATTTAAATATAGCCTCAGATTATAACTCTGATTGTTCTTTCGTTCATGAGTTAGCAAAGACTTGATATATTTGGTTTTAGCGAAGAAAAAGAAAGAAAGAAAGAAAGAAAGAAAGAATAGGAGAGACAATAGCGCTCTCATGAGAAAAAAAGATATATCAGATATCTTTGGTTTTAGCGAAGAAAAAGAAAGAAAGAAAGAATAAAAGAGACAATAACGCTCTCATGAGTTTAACGTCTGCGTCAATGAAATGGAAAATCTTGTTAATTCTGATTCTTTTATTTGTATTCTCTTACTTCTTTAAATAATTTTCGTCATTCATAACTTTTATTGTTATTGTAACATTTTGTAAAAGCTCAAATATATTAACGATACTGAAAAGGGAATCTTCACAGGTATTTTATAGTTGTCGAACTTGCAAGGATCTCATTCAGTCATTAAACTAAGGATTATAATTCATCCGAAAATCCAAATCGAAAACTGAAATTTCCACCGGTACTACATCAATAAATGTAAAATATTCCAAGTTGTATATCTGTTGCTTAAAATTATCGACTGTTTATTGTTATCTGAAAGACACTGTTCTCAAGGGCCTCATAAAAAGCGGCGTGCGTTGTACTTCCTGTGGTATTAGAAATACCATAAAATGTCCACGAAGTCATGGGACCAACACACCATTTCATGAAACTCCCACGAATGTTTACGCTTACAGCTTTCCATACATTCATACACGAATTCATCATAAATATGGCTGATTTGTGTTTCCTTTGATAAGACGCGTCTCCCCTGACAGCCGTGCTATCTGTCGATAGATCCTTTCGTATATCAATGAAAACAATTATACAGGATTGATGTGGATTATAATATACAGAGAATCAAAAGAGGTTGAATTATTTCCTTTCAATCTAAACCTAATATGAAACTATTTATATGAAGCGCTGGCATTCGCTAAGAACTCCTGTGCAGGTTACTGAAATGACGTATTTGAAATTAACCTACTTTTAACAGATGAGTCGGATCAGCTGATAAATTGAATCATAAATGGAGAATATCTATATGTATGATGCTCAGTTATTTGCGTCATTTTTATACCGAACGAAATTATTTGCACGTACTAAAGTTGAACCTCGGGCACTTCGACGTTGTGTAATAGTTCGAAACCTTGTCTTGCTAACTCAATTACAACTGAGTAGTGAGTTCAATCCTCACTAGATGCGCCACACAATCGGCCTGATGACACATATTCTAATCATTTCATTCCAAGCAAGGCAGGAATGCCACTATTATGCAGAGGTTTTTGGTTTGTTTTATTTTATGGCATATCAACCTCAATGGGTTACTTAATGCCGACAAAATTTTTATTTGTCTATATTTCTGAGATGAGGTGTTATGTACACGATTTACATTATTCGGACTATTGTCCTCATCTTTGTCGCCATATTTATTACAACGTCCGGCCCTTTAGCATCTGTCTATATTTCTGAGATGATGTATTATGTACACGATTTACATTATTCGGACTATTGTCCTCATCTTTGTCGCCATATTTATTACAACGCCCGGCCCTTTAGTATCTGTCTATATTTCTGAGCAAAATAAACTGTTGGAGTAGAATTGACGGTTGCATTTAGCTATTTCAACAGTTAAAGGGTGGGACCTAACTGCTAATATAGTAGCACACTTAAATTCATGTAGTCGAGGCACCAGGGAAAAAAGCTCGTCAGAGCAGTTGCCATGAAAATATTTGTAAAAAAAGAGAGAGAGAAGCAACACCATGTCGGTGAGACATTGACTGGTCAGGAACGATTAAATTACAGATCGTTCTTTTCATTTTGTCAAGAACCTCGAGATGAATAGCAGGAGAACAAGACCAGACATGGCAGCAGTATTCAATGCATGGCTGAATGGTAGATTTGTAAATGTAAAAGATGGATTCTGACGAGAAAAAAAAATTCTCAGACGCTTAGAAAACCAGCATAAAATTGATTCTCGCGCACTTCGATGTGCTTAACAAACTTGCCTCACAGATCAATTCCGGCTGAGTAGTGAGTTCGATCCTCACTCGATGCTTTATTTTTTCCGCCTTGTGCCGTACCTAAACTACGCTTATTAATTCACTGTAAAATTCTTCCGATTTCTATCTAAAATTTGTTCAGCTCGAATTCGGGTAGATGGGGCTCGTCATCCCAAGAAGGTACTCTATCTAAGGCATTGTTTTTCAAAGTGAGCGCTAGCGCCCCCTTGTGGACTTGTTGAAAGCGGGGCCCTGGGAGTTTATCTCCCTTGAGGGACGGTGAAAATCTTCAGGGAGGCCGTGAGGATTTATCTTTTTCAAATTTTCATAAATTATTCAATATTGGTTTTCTTTATATAGCCACCAATCTGCCACTGGGTGGCGTGCCACTAGTGTTTACGTTTTCGTCTCGTCAATGTTACCACTGGCGCTGGCCCGACTGTAGCCTGCCCGTGGCTGCCACCAGAGGACCGCTGGCGTTAACATCGACGGTCCGCCAGCAGGCCATTAAAGGCTTGCGTGTAGGATAGCTACAACTAAATTATTACCTCTTGATTTATCGTCCCTCACAAACCCTTATCTATCAGGGAACCCTTTTAGGTTAAGAACTTTTCAGTCACTTCATGTTTCATGCCTTACAACACCAACTAGGCGGTAGACATTTTTTGTAGTTCAACTAAATTGAAGGCACACTTCCCTTTTGTATTAGATTATTCACCCTGCTCTTGCATATTTCCTTTTTATTTTATGTGTAAAACAGTTTCATATAATAGGCTTGCCCACTTTATTGTCCCGGATCAAATGTTTAATTTTATTTGAAAGATCGTTTTCTTTCATTTATTCATACAAAGGAAGCCTAAACACCGGTATAAACTAATAAAATATTGCGCTAGAGTAGCCATAAAAATTATGTGGGAATATATTGTCATACAGGAAGAAAATGAGTAACTACCGACAGTTCGTTAGCATTTATTTTTAAAACTAGTGCTCGATACACAGTAGAGCAAAATATTAAATCAAAGAAAAGAAATAACTGTTTTTGTAGACACTGCATTATGTTTACATAATTAATTAAAAAATGTTCATATTTATATATCTATTATTTGGTCACAAATAAGATAGTAAAAAATGCAAAATTAGATTCCTAAATTTTAAATCTTAATTTTAACAATACCGTATCTAGTATACTAATAAATATAATAAATGTAGTATTTTAGATCTTTATAAATAAAAATATATAAATACATGACTTAATCATATTTGAAGCCCCTTTATGACAAAACCAATGTATTTTATGAAAAAATAAAAATATGAATAAAAAGTAAAGAAAAATGTATTGTAGTGAATCTTATGTATGCCCCTAAAAAACAGACAGGATATAAGGAAACCAGTATCGACAGGCAGAATTTACAAACCCACACCTAAACCTTAAGTTATATTTACACTTTACCATTTTAAATTAGACTTGTATCCTGATTCGTCAAAAATGCAACACCCTTTTAAATTTTTTGTAATCCCTTCTCCATCCAACGTAAACTATATAATACAATTTAGCTTTAAAAAGTAAATCTTTTTTTGAAAGTTATTCAACATCGATTGAGAATGGAACAAAAAGTTTAATTTTAAAATTAGTTTTTAGTTCCGAAACGCGGTAATTTTTGTGTCGCAATGTATACATATTTTTAAATATTATATATATATATATATATATATATATATATATATATATATATATATTATATATATATATATATATATATTATATATATATATATATATATATATATATATATATATATATATATATATATATATTATATATATATATATATATATATATATATAATGTATATATATTTTTATAATATTATATATATATATATATATATATATATATATATATATTATATATATATATATATATATATATATATTATATATATATATTATATATATATTATTATATATATACATATATATACATATATACACACACACACACACACACACACACACACACACACATAACATACACACACAGGAACACACATATATATATATATATATATATATATATATATTATATATATATATATATATATATATTATATATATATATATATATATATATATATATATATATATATATATATATATATATATATATATATATATATATATATATATATATATATATATATATATATATATATATTATATTATATTATATTATATATATATAGGAATAAAGTATATTTAGGCAGCAAGTATTCTTCCAAACACGTTTGATTTAAAAGAACCAACAACGTCTGTTTTATTAAGAATAACTATCAGACACAAGACAAATATTAGTAGATAACACCAAAATACTTTAGAGCACCCAATGCGAGAAAAAGAAAAAGATTCAAAACTCTTGAAGCTTTTATTATACAAATTAAACTACCCATATTAAATAAAATATCATTCACCACAGGAGAACTTGTTTTAAAGTTCATTTGATATAATTAATTTGTGCACATATTTTATAATAATAATAATAATTAATAGATGAAAACCAACAAATATTTTAATATACAGGGTGTTTCAAAAAATTTGATATACTTTGAGATGTAAATATCACAGAAAGTACATGATTAAGTCAAATGAAATTAAAAAGTATTAATATTGAAGATCATAAGATTTATTCTTCCAAATCTGAATGAGAAATTCAAAAGCATGTGGATTATGTGAACGATTTCACAAATGTTCAATATGCGCCCCGCCTGAGACACGGCATTTTTATACCTGGAAAGAAAAAGATTAAAGATTAAAGAACATAAAAATACAAATAAGAAAAACGCAAAAACATAAAGACATAAAACATAAAACAAACATTAAACATAAAGATGCTATTAAAATTTGAAGTCATTTGAAGAAGATCTAACAATGTTATTAGATTGCAAAATGATATCAAATTTTTTGAAACACCCTGTATTTTCTGTTTATACGTTATTTTTATAGATACAGTTTATTGAAGTCAATGCGCTGTTTTTTAATTAAACAGTATTAATTACATTTACTGGACTGAATGTTCGAGAAATTTTCTAGAAAATATGCGTTCTCCAACAGGAATCAAACCTGTATCCCATACGAAAACCGTCATATAACCTGACGTACTGTTAACAGTGAATAATAATTAAAAAAAAAATTTTAAATAAATCACAACTTTTCGTGCCGCCTTCGCCCTCAATAGACGTTATACATGATGCCATGCTAGACAATTCCAAACGTCCAGCTTAAAAAAAAAAAATAAATAAAAAAGGATGCAGACAACGGAAGTCTAACGAAAACGCAGACCCCACGTCGGTTCTTTATAATGAGTGCGAAAATCGAAAGTTCTTGAACAAATTCAAAACATTTCTCTGACACTTTTATATGGGTTTTGTTCAACTTGTGTTTTCAAATGTTCATCTTCCATCGACGTCCTGTACCACCTTGATCTTCATGACTCGTATCCCCATCGCGGAACTTCAAAAACCAGCGCCGTACTGTCCGATCACAAGTGGGTCCTTCACTGCATGCTCTGTTAATGTCGAGAGCAGTTTAAGTAGCATTATGACGAAGTTTGAACACGTGCAAGGACAGTAAATGCATCTTTCCGTTTATCATGTTCAAAATGACGTGTATTTATCGTTTTAATTTAAATTTCGAAAGAAAATGATATTAAATTAACAAAGAGAACACTCTAATCATTATGTCTGATTGATATATTTTTGTGTAATTTTTATAATACATGAGGCCACAATTAAAAGGTTTATTCTAAAAATCAAACATTACTTTCCAAACAAACCTAAAACGTCATAGGGTAAAGTGCGATCATTAAATGGAAACTTTTGCCTTCAGTGATGAGGACTGTTAAATACGGTATCTATGAACCCTAATGAGTATGTCCTTATCCTCATAAATACGTTAGACACTATTGTAAGTGGGGGTAATATGCTGTCTATGTAGTCCTCCAATAGCAGTGGTTTACCTACTTCACGCTGCTGGCGAGTATTGTATTTTGTTGATGCCATAAAGATTACCATTTCATTTCCAACCTCCGTTTTGTTTATTCCTCATTCAGTAATCTTTTCTAGGTTACAACACTTTCTTTCTTTCTTTCTTTCTTTCTTTAATTCGATACATTTCTCTATTTCTATATATAGTCTATATTTATAGAAATATTTATATATATTCTATATATATTTCTATATTTAGAGTTCTATATTTCTTTCGATAGTTGGAACTATTGTCAAAAGAATCGGTAGGATGATTTATTTAGTCAAAGGGCCGGCAATGGTGCACAAAAGGCACTTGAATCAAACAAAAATTAGGCATATAGATGGCGAGAACGATACTCCAGTGGATGTTGAGCCTGTGGAAGTCCTTTTCGAAGAATTTGATGTGACCATTCTTCGGAATGCTCTTGAGACAAAAATCAAAAAAATCCAAAGAGGAAAAGAAGGAATACAGAGAGAATCGACATTAACCCAAAAAGGAAAAGATATTGACTCTGTGGAGATTGAATTTAAAAAAGTTGGGGGGGGTTATGTACCGTAACTATGAATATTAATGTCCCAATCCTTATAAATATGTTGGAAACTATTGTAAGTGGGAGTAATATGCTGTCTATGTAGTCTACCATAGTGGTTTACCTATTTTCACGCCGCTGGTGAGTATTGTATTTTGTTGATGTTATAAAGATTGCCATTTCATTTCCAACCTCCGTTTTGGTTATTCATCATTCAGTAAACCACAAGGTTACCACAAGAAGCAAAGGAATTCGTTGTTGAAATATTTTGGAAACTTGTTTTATACACCATACAGTATCAATATGGATTATCCTAATCTAATGCTCCATTAGCCCGACAAACTAAGGTCGACATATACACGAGATATTTGCGAAATTATTGATATCTTTCCAAGAAATCAAAGGATGAACGCTCATAGTAGGTTAAATTATATATGGGTGTATACAGTATTTTTTGAAAAGAATATAAAGCCAAAAAACATGTGAAAATTTGAACGTACACAAGTCTGTGTCGAAAATGTCATTATTTAAAAGGACTGAAGAAGTCGCAGTATAATTGAAACGTCGTAAGGCACGCTTTGAAATGACAGAAAGTAAAAATCCTGTTAACTCGTTAGGAATGGAATTCGTTCTCGGAATAAAAAAATAAATAGAGAGGGAAAAATAAAACAGAAAAAAAGAGAGAGAGAGAGAGAAAGAGAGAGAAAGAAAGATAAATAAAAAGAGAGCAAGAGTGAAGCAAAGAGAGTGCGATTAAAAGGAAAATGAGCGAAGAAAAAAAAGAAAGAAAGAAAGAAAGAAAGAAAGAAAGATAACGAGGTAAAGTGAGAGAGAAAGAGGGAGAAATAAAAGAGAAAGAGAGTACGAGAGGAATTAAAAAATAGAGAGAGAAAGATAGGAAGAGAAATAGTGTGAGAGAAAGAAAGTCTAGAAATAAATGAGAATTAGGTAATAAGAGTGAGAGTGTAAGCGGGAAATCAAGAGAACAAAAGAGGGGGGAACAAAGGACAAAGGGGAGAGGGCAGATAAAAGGGAAAGAGGATCGGAAAAGAAGAAAATTTAGTGTGAACAAAAAGGAAGTGGGAGGAAGTTGAAAAGAGTGGAAAGGGAAAACAATATCCGTAAAAGGGAGAGGTTTACACATGTCAATCAAAAGGAAAGCGGGAAAATAGGAGAATAAAAGATTAAAGAAAAGTGAGAAGAAATACTGCAGTCAATAAATGAAAGAGAAAAGGAGTGATCTAAAAAGACATTAGTAGAAAGAAAGAAAGCAAATTTGAAAGAAAGGAAAAAAGAAAGCACGTTTAAAAAAAAAAAGTACGTTTGAAAAAAAGAAAAAAGAAGGAAAACAAGCAAGCAAGCAAGAAAAAATCAAAGAAAAAATGCTCGAAAGAAAGCAAGAAAGAAAGCACTTTAAAAAGAAATCAAGCAAGGAAGAAGAAAGAAAACATGAAAATACGTTTGAAAGAAAGCAGGTTTGAATGGAAGAAAGAAAGAAAGAAAGCACATTTGAATGGAAGAAAGAAAGAAAGCAAGAAAGAAAGCACGTTTGAAAGAAAGAAAGAAAGAAAGAAAACACGTTTGTAAGAAAGCAAGAAAGTCCATTTGAATGGAAGAAAGAAAGAAAGCAAGAAAGAAAGAAAGAAAGAAAGAAAGAAAGAAAGAAAGAAAGAAAGTACGTTTGAAGGAAAAAAGAAAGAAAAAAAAGAAAATACGTTTGGAGGAAAGAAAGAAAATCAAAGAAAGAAAAAAGAAAGAAAGAAGGGAAAAAGAAAGAAAGAAAGAAAGAAAGAAAGAAAGTACGTTTGAAGGAAAAAAGAAAGAAAAAAAAAGAAAATACGTTTGGAGGAAAGAAAGAAAATGAAAGAAAGAAAAAAGAAAGAAAGGGAAAAAGAAAGAAAGAAAGAAAGAAAGAAAGAAAGAAAAAAGCACGTTTGAAAGAAAGGCGGAAATGCTAATATTCATTAAACAAATGTGAACAAAAAAATTCAAATATAAAAAAGGATGGTCGGGAATGAAAGTTCTAATGAATAATTCACTGTTTAAATAAAAAAAAGAACCAAAAACAGAGAAATAAAGTCGAATCGAGAAAGAAAAGGAAATTAATTAAAGAATGAATAAAAAATACAAGAAAGATTGAAGTAAAAACAGAATTAAAGCAGAGTTAAGGAAAAAAAAAGAGTGAAATTCTGACTAAGTTTTAAAAAATACCTTTTACCTTACAAATATCGAGCGCCCTTTCACTCTTCCTATTTGTCTCCTCTTCCATTTCCCAACCCCAGCCGATAGCATTGTCTCCGTCACTGCTGTTGCTTTTGCAATTCAATAATCCAAAGGGCTACTTAGAATTCCATCAGGATAATGGATTCGAATCGAAGAGAGACACCATAACAAGATGGCGTCAGTGAAACAAGTGTGCATAAAACGAAATGGCGGGAAAAAAAGAAAAGAAAGAATAAAGAAGGAGGTGGAAGAAAACTCACAGGAAGAACGAAAAAGATGAGTAATGACGCGGGAAAATGAGGGTTAAATTTTCCCCTTCTTGAAATCCCGAAAAAGTAAACCAAAAAATAAATTAATACATGAAACAACAAAAGACACAAATTATTCCACACTTCCTCCTGTCTCATCCCAGAGTTTCGTAATAAAGTAATACAAATATATATGTGTGTGTTTGTGTGTGTGAAGTTTCTGTTTACGGCAAAAGATACTTTAAAAAACTGTATTAGAATCTGTTAATTGAAAAAAAATATGTGGTATTATGAAGAAATAAGAGTACTTCTTTGAATAAAATCCTAATGAAACAGAGAGGGAATTTGAGGACCACCGAAATAAAAAGAACAAGTGAAAAATCTCACAGCAATAGAAAGAGAACGATGTTCTAAAAGCCTTGAAAAGGGTTTGTTTTTTTTTAAGTGAGAAGTATAATAAAGAATTACAAACAGAAAAGAAAACCCTGAAAACTGAGCGACGGCAAAAAATGAACAAATAGTTTAGAGAAGAAGGGGAGATTTGTATTATGTTCAAAGGGAGGAAATGGCGACACAAGTGAGGCGGTCTGGGAAAAACGGGTCAAAGAGAGAGAGAAAGAGAATTTTGTTAAAATGAATGAGAGAGAGATGATTAGATAGAGTACAGAATACAATGAATAGTGGTTTTCTCTTCTATGCGCACGGAAAAGCGTTACAATGAGAAATTATGAAAAGTCTAGGGAAAGTTTAGAGAGCTGCGTTATCGAAATAATGTCGGAAGCACACAGACAAATAATAAAAGAAATTGAAACAAACGCAAAGATATTTCCACGTACGTTCAGCGAAGTTAAGCAACCTTAAGCCTGGTCAGTACCTTAAGCCTGGCCAAAATGAAACGGAACAGATGATTTCGCGATCGATAGGTTTATCAAAATGGTAAAAGGAATATAAAACAGCAGCCAAATACTGGTAGATCACAGTAGATTAATATTTACTGTGAATAATAGTAGATTAATATTTACTGCTTGTGAATCATACCAGAGGAGAATGATACCAGAAATGGGGCAAGGACCGTTTGGTTTTGATCAACACACTGGAGCAAGACTATCATAGTGAGCAATACAAACGCAGGCTTATTAATAACACAAAGGCATATACGATATGAAGAGCTACTCGAAATATTAGTGAAGCTTGATTTACTCTGAAAGGATAGTCAAGTAGCCTGTAAGTTCTATCGGGAACAAATGAAGATAGAGAAGATTTTAAAGAATACATATAATATGAAAACGAATACAATGAATCGTTTTCATGTCGGATTTACTTAACCTGTACTGTGAGACGTTCCTAAGAAAACTAGAAGAGCGATCCATAATTTATTATCGGTGAACATAAACTTAACACAATACACTATGCAAATGATATTGTGCTGTTGGTAACTTCATAAATAAAACTGTAACAATATTAAACAAAGTAGACGCGCTGATCAAGAAGAAAAGACTAAGTATGCTTATCAGCAAAAAAGATTATGTATTAATGGTGTCTAAATTAAGAGGTACGATGGAAAATGTAAAAAAGAAATCCGAAGATGTATAGAAAGAGAAAGTGCCTTTTAGAATCTAAAGTAATAAGGAAATCGAAAAAAAAAAACACAAAGACCGTTATGAAACGCTATGTAATGTCTTATAATATACAGTGTAACCCGGACATAAGAGACCCGGATATAAGAGACCCGGATATAAGAGACCCGGATATAAGAGAAACCCGGATATAAAAGATATTTTCTCTGGTCTCAAATTAGAGCCTGTGTTAATGTATATAAAACAGACCAAACCTGGATATGAGACTTCTTCTCCGGTCCCGACAACTCTCTTATATCCGGGTTACACTGTAGACGGTATTGAGAATCCAGATTAAAAAGTCAAAGGTAAAAAACGTCCCTCGAGAAAAAAATCACAGGATAAAAATCGCAAAAAAAAAAAAAAAAAAAAACAAGGCAAGGATAGCACTCAGTGGACAAAATACCAGATTTTTATCCTAAAATGCATAAAATACAAGTTTTATAAATTAAGTAAATTGACAATTCAAGGCACTTTTAATTCAAATTTTAAATTGACATTTTCTTCACATAAAGTTGGGTTTTATGGGATAATGGGACTCCTTAGCTATGGAATATATCGAATATGTGACCGTAGCATTGTTAGTAAAACGTTTTTACGGCGTTATCTTCGTACACGATCTCCGTGGTTTGTTTACGTTTTCTTAAAATAAAGTTGGGTCTTATGAGCTGCTCAAACTCCCTAACTATGAAATATATCGAATATTAGTAGCATTATCAGAAAACATTTTCTAGAGATTGGATAGATTTACTATCTGAATTTTCCTTTGCACACAGAGCGGACTCATAAACTACAGAATTAGATAACTTTATTATTAGACAACATAAATTAATTGTGACTTTTGCTTATAACTTTTTTCTTCGCCAAATTGTGACTTTTTCTGGAATTTTTTTTCTGTGACTTTATTACCGGCCATAGACAGTGAATGCTGGACAATCACTTCACAGATGCTGAAGATTCATGAAAGACAAAGATGGCGTTTTACAGACAAATGTTAAGAATATGATGGACAGAGAATGTGAGAAAGAAAGGTTTAAATGTTAGCAATAAGAGACTCCTTAAATTTACCCTATCTATATATCTTTAGATAGGTTCTCTGGATACAGAAGTGCTCAAAAGAGTAGACATTCAGTTACTATGCAGCGTTCGCGGTGTCTTGGGTGGCTTGGTCACGTTGCGCGCAGGGATAACTCCAGAATTCCCAAATAGATACAATATGGAGAACTGTCTGAGAGCACGCGTAACATTGGGCGAACGACACAAGCTTCACTTCAAGGACCAGTTTAGAACGTCAATCATGGAATTTTGTATCAATGTTGCAAACAGTGATACGGTTGCCTGGGATCGATTGGGGTGAAGAGCTGCTGGTTACTCGGGTGCAAATAGCTATGAAAAGAATAGAGTGCTCTGTAGAGGCTAGACAAAGATGCAAATGTTCCATGGTGGATGACTCCACAATATCCTATCACTGTGATCGTTGACAAAAACCGTGCCGGTCGCGCATTGGTTGTTTTAGCCGTGAGCTATTTTAAGATAAATTATTTTCCGCATCCGAACGTCGCCATTGACGAAAAAGGCCATATATACACATCGTTGAATGAAAAATCTGTAATAGTAAAAGATGACGTTAGGTCAGCACTGGTGAAAAATGAGTGAAAAAACAGTGGGACCAGACGAAATTTCACAGACGGAATTGTGTTGATGGCAGATTCAGTATGCAAGAAAAAAGAATGTATTTACATTATTCGGACTACTGTCCTCATCTTTGCCGCCATATTTATTACAACGTTTCGGTCGTTGTACGCTCCGGCCTTCTTCAGTATCTATCTATATTTCTGAGATGAGGTATTATGTACATCATTTACATTATTCGGGCTACTGTTCTCATCTTTGTCGCCATATTCATTACAGTTTTCGTCCCTTTATTATCTGTCTATACTTCTGAGATGAGGTATTATGTACACTATTTACATTATTCGAACTATTGTCCGCATCTTTTGTCGCCATATTTACTACAACGTTTCGGGTTCATTCGAAATTATATTTTGGAGGTTTATATTGCTTATTATTCGACCATTGACTATCTTTGTCGCCACAGCTTATCACAACGTTTCGTTATTGATGCCCGGTTTTTCAGGTGGCTGGAATGTCGAACTGAACTTTATTATGACATTCCGTCCACCCAAAGAAGGCCTGAGCGTAGCACGGCCGAAACGTTGTAATAAATATGGCGATGAAGATGAGGACAATAGTCCGAATAATGTAAATAGTGTACATAATACCTCATCTCAGAAATATAGACAGCTACTGTAAGAATGTATAGTTGAAAGCACAAGGTATGGGGGTGGGCAGATGACGGCGTGCTTCTCAAACAGGTTTTGCAGTTTCACTATAAGTACAGAAAAGTAACTAACAACGAGAAATGTAACGCAAAATAGCGAAGGCGTTGAGAAATATTGAAAGATGGCTTTAAGAAACTAAGTAAAGTATTAAGATAAGAAAATTTCAACAGAAACAAAGAAAATATTGATGAATTGCTGTGTAATATGCAATCTCCTCTATGTAGCGATGTTCAAAGATTTGCGATATCTAAGATTTAAAATGTATTTTAAAAAATGAAAAGTCTTTCATGAGGTTTTCTTTCTGGAATTAATTCAGAGTTAAAGGAATAAATTTACTATACCCAGTAAGCAACACACTTTGATGTATTTAAAACCTAATTTGTATTGATTGGAGTAGACACATTTGTTTTTTGTTTGTTTTCAGCAAAATGGAAGATGTCCGTCATTTTTTAGACATTTGTAAACAAAAGTTAATTCTCCGTTTTAAAAAGAAACAATTTGAAATTCTATTTTTAAGTTCTGATAGTGTTCAGATTGTAATAAGGTTTAAAATTTATGATTAGTAAAAATAATTTTACTTAATAACAGTATTTCCTAAAAGTTACACCATCGAAACTGAAATTTAAAAGATTTAACAACTTTATAAATTATTGTAATTAAAATTGTAAAAAAGAAAACAATTATTGCAAAAATTCATTTTTCATTGAAAATTGCTTTTGCTTTAGACAATATTGTCCTTAACATAGATCATTCATAAAAGCAACTAAAAGCTTTTATGATTATATGATATCTTAGTTTTATTGGTTTTGTATTTTACAATTCAGAGCAGATTTTCAGTAACTTCTCGTCTGATTTTGTAAAAAGAAAAATTATTTAAATTCTTCAAAGACGTGTGCTTTTAAGTAATATAATCACAAAAATTACACCTTTGAATTTCTCGAGTTTTCATAAAATTAAATAAGGGGTTGATAAAAAAGGTAAAAAATATTTTTACCAAGACTTTCTAAAAAAAAACATTTCTAAAATAATTTCATTCATTTGTGAATATGGCCTGAAAGTTTCTGTAAAATCCAAGTTATTTGATTTTTGAATGAATTTCCTAATCAACGTATCTTTCATTTCAAAAAAGATTTTCTTTGTTATTTTATAGTTCATCCGCTGACGCAAGAAACACATGAATTTTAATCAAAATTTCGAATGTTTTAATATGGATTAAAAATTTACAAAAATAATCAAAACACTTTGGTCTTTCTTCTTAATAACGGCGGTAAACATTTCGACGATAAAACTTTCAGTCGAGTTTGGGGCATTTTTTATCATAGTATTTCATGTTTTTTTTGGTTTTGTTTTTTGTTTTGTTTTGTTTTTTTGTTTTTTGCAAATTCATGAACATCCCCCTACCTATATGGCAGTGAATGCTGAACATTTTCCCCATTTGTAGCGAGAGTTGTAGAGAAAATGATTGTGTTCTGTATAAAGAATGACCTTACGATAAAGAAAGATGTTTCTGTACTGCTATGTAATATCTAATCTCTTATATGACTGTGAGTGTTGGTTCTTTTCCTTCTAGAGGAAGAAGAAACTTGAAGCGACTAAGATATGTTTCTTCAGAAGAATGCTGAGAATGTCATGGACAGAGCACGTGAGAAATGGGGACGTTCTAAGGAGAAAACTGATACTAACAATAAGAGACTGCTGAATTTTAGGAACAGATGACGAAGAAAAAAGGCTTTGCGAATATAACACTCACATAGCATACAAAGAGAGCAAGTAGAGGAAAAAGCATGGCAAGAAGAGTGTCAAGGGAATAACAGTTAAGGAAACAAAAGACAGGAACGTGTGGAGAGCCATGAGCACACGTCCTGAAAGGGTACGACACATAAAAGTAAAAGAATCTACAGGCAGCGGTGACTAAATTTTTCCGATATGATAAATAGATCATCTGTCTTTTTGTTTTTTTTTTGTTGTATTATTTGTTTAAGTTAACAAGCGAAATCCAGGCTCGAATCTAGACAAGGGCAGGAGTTAAATAAGCAACTATCCCTTGCACAGGGTAATGTAATATAAAGACAGATTAAAATAGATCAATAAATACGAAACGATTGATATATATATATATATATATATATATATATATATATATATATGTCTTAAATAACAACTTAAAAGAGACTGTTTGAGCAACACAAAGACTGATCAAAATTCATGATAAAAAAATTAAAAAACAAAAAACAAATTAAAACTACAGACAAAAGTTCATTTTCTCCACCAAGACATTCATTTCTGTAGTTCACTGCTATACAAGCAAGCAGAAAATTATTTTTCTCCTGATGATGTCTATGTTGGCCGAAACTAGTCGAGGAATCTAAATGAAATAATTATAAAAAACGAAGGAATATTAATATACAACCCAGTGTCTCTGAAGATTTTAATTTTTTTATATTTTTTATTGTTCATTATATATATATATATATATATATATATATATATATACGGTGAGTGCAGGTTTTTCTTGGAACAGCTTCTTGACTGGACCTCGAACCTTTCAGCACCGTTTTGTTCACCGATGGTTTTGACACAGATTTGTAAATCTGATTCTCACTGGGTGCTCAAAGACTTTGTCTTTGTGTCAGTCGGATTAAGCTGAATTGTTATCTATTTGGAAGGGCTAAAACCCACTTCTCAAAGCGAGATCAAACGTAATTGCACAGAAATTATTCGTATAGTTAATTTAAAAGACAGTTGAAAATTCTGGAACACATTATGAGGAAAGACGGCTTGAAAAACTTAATACTCACAGGACGCATTGAGTTGAAGAGGAGGGGTAAGGGGGGGGGGAACTGATCAACGTTCCAAAGGCCTTTGTGAGAATGGGATGGCAGAGGAGAACAAAGAGCAAACGACCAAATGTTGTTTAGAGCTACAAGAGACGGGAAGTTGTGGAGTGCTGTGATCATCCACATCCCTGAATGGAAAAAACACATAAATCAAATTTTCACTGGTTGCTTGACACTTGTGGCCTTGTGCCAGTTTAAGCAAGAAAGTAAAAACGATAAAGTAAAGTAGAAGAAAAACAAAGTCATTGTTGTGCGTTTTTGTTTTTTTACTATTTGATGTAGAATTTTTTTGTTTTATCGTAAAAATTATAATGAGATCATCAAGACATTATAGTCATTCGGTTCGTCTCGATTTCACTTAAGGATGTAGTGGTAGGGGAGGAGAAGGCTGTTGCTGAGTAAAGAATGTCTCACCGGATCCGCTCGGCATTTGATATTTCCTTCTATTGTGAAGAGGTGTGTTTGTGAAAGTGAAATATGTGGGGGTAGGGTATCTGCCATTGGAAATAAGTGCATATGAGATGGTGGGTGCATCGGCACGGAGACTTGTAATGGAGGACTTTTACTTTACACTAGGTGGTGATGATCACAGAAAGACAGATAGATATGAACAGACTGAGATAGATAGATAGATAGATAGATAGATAGATAGATAGATAGAAACAACTTTATCGATAGGCAGATATAAACAAACTTATCGATACATATAAAGAAAATTTATGGATAAATATAAACAAAATTTTCGACAAATAGACAGAAACAAATTTATCGATAGATAGATAGATAGATAGATAGATAGATAGATAGATAGATAGATAGATAGATAGATACGAACAAACTTTTCGATAGATAGATTGATAGACAGACAGACAGGCAGAAACAATTTTATCGATAGATAGATATAAACAAACTTATCGATACATATAAACAAAATTTATGGATGGATAAATATAAACAAAATTTTCGATAAATAGACAGAAGCAAATTTATCGATTGATAGATAAATAGATAGAAACAAACTTATCAATAGATAGGACGAAAATTATTGATAGATAAAAATAAACTTATAGATAGATAGATAGATAGATAGATAGATAGATAGATATGAACAAACTTATCGATAGATAGGTATAGGTACCTCCACTAATTCGGTATGCATAAGGCTTAAAATGAATTTTTGAAATGAAAAAGCTAAAGGATTGAAAATAATTTACTATTTCCAATCAGCAAAATACTCCGGGCTGTATTTTAAACGGAAATTATATTGATCACGATCGTTCTTTTCAGTAAAATCGATGAAAATCAGCCATTTTTGACACATGTTTAAATTTTCGGACACATATTTAATTCTCGGTTTTAAAAATCTTGCAAAAATAAAAAATATATTTCTGAAACGTTATTTAAGAAAAATTAGCCAATTTAAAGTTAAATTAATCCGATTTGAAACAAATATTACTTATAGCATAAAATGTTCTGTAAAAACATTTCTTTACTATAGGGTCTTGTTAATTTTTTTACGTGTTAATTGATTTAATGACATCTGAACATGTTCATATTTAAGTATGGTGGAGCAGAAGATAAAGTTTATAAGTTGGAGGGCAACCCCTAAAGCACGTGACCTTTTAATGATAGATTTATCGGTTTGTACATCATACTTCAGACATTCTGTACGTAATCACATATAAAAAAACAAATCGAAATTCTTTTTAAAAAAATTCGAGGTAGTCAGATTGTAATAAGCTTTCAATATATGACTAGCAAATATAGTTTTACTTAATAACAATATTTCCTAAGAATTATCACAATGAAAAGGAATTTTGAAAGACTTAAAACCTTTATAAATTATTCAATTTAAAATTGTAAAAAGTGAAAACAAATCTTGTAAATCTTCATTTTTCCCCGATTTTTTTTTCTTCAGACAATATTGTCTTTAATAAATATTATTCATAAAAGAAATTAAAAGCTTCTCTAATTAAATATCTTAGGGTTTTTTTTGCGTTTTTATTTTTAAATTCAGAACAGATTTTCAGTGAGATAGTCCGATTTTGCAAAATAATTATTTTAATTTCTTCAAAGAATTCTGCTTCCAATGTAGTCACTAAAATTATCACTTAGAATTTCTAAAGTTTTCAGAAAATTAAAATTTCAGGCTGAAGCACACGTAAGAAAAATATTTTTACCAAGATTATCCATTAAAAAAATCCAAAATAATTTAATTCATTTGTGAATAAATCCTGAAGATTTCATTAAAAACCGATAATTATTTGATTTTTGCAAGAATTTCCAAATTGATATATCTGTTACCCCAAAAAGAGGCTAAAATTTGCTATTTGTCCGAAAATGTGACAAAAATGGCTGATAACGCAAGAAAAACAATTTTTTTAAATCAAAATTTCAAATGTTCTAAAAAAAAAAGTAAAAAAATTAATTAAATAATCAAAAAATATTTTAATCCTTCCTCTTAGTAATAAAATAAAGATTTTGACGATAAAACTGTTTTCATTACGTTTGGAGAAAACGTTTTGGAGCTGATTTTTTAGCGTTTTCGGGGAGGTAACCAGATAGATATAAAAAAAAAACTTATCAATACACAGATATAAACAAACTTATCGACAGTGAGATAGAAACAAACTTATCGAAATATAGATAGACAGAGAAATTTATCGATGGATAGACAGATATGAACAAACTTATCGATAGATAGATATGAAAAAACTTCTCGATAGATAAATATGAACAAACTGATAGATAGATAGATATGAAAAAACTTCTCGATAGATAGATAGATAGATAGATAGATAGATATGAACAAACATCGACAGAGATAGATAGATAGATAGATAGATATGAACAAACATCGACAGAGATAGATAGATCGATAGATAGATGTGAACAAACATCGATAGAAATAGATAGATAGATAGATATGAACAAACATTGATATAGATAGATAGATAGATAGATAGATATGAACAAACATTGATATAGATAGATAGATAGATAGATAGATATGAACAAACATTGATATAGATAGATAGATAGATAGATAGATAGATATTGATATAAAGATTGATAGATAGATAGATAGATAGATAGATAGATATGAACAAACATTGATATAGATAGATAGATAGATAGATAGATAGATATGAACAAACATTGATATAGATAGATAGATAGATAGATAGATAGATAGATAGATAGATATGAACAAACATTGATATAGATAGATCGAGAGAGAGAGATATGAACAACATCGATAGATAGATAGATAGATAGATATGAACAAACATCGATAGAGATAGATAGATAGATATGAACAAACATCGATAATGATAGATAGATAGATAGATATGAACAAACATCGATAGATAGATAGATAGATAGATATGAACAAACATCGATAGATAGATAGATAGATAGATAGATAGATAGATAGATAGATATGAACAAACATCGATAATGATAGATAGATAGATAGATAGATATGAACAAACTTATCAATAAATAGATAGATAGAAGCTAGATATAAGTAAAGTGAAAAAAAAACGAGCGATAACTCGCTTTAGAAATGGACTTCGAGTCTACGTTTGCCTGTATTTACAAGGATGTATGCACACCGCCCATTATAGTGAAAAATGTGGTGGCTGTAAATGAATTCTGACAAACATTCTGTAATAGAAGATTTGAAAACCTTAAAATTTAAAAGAAATGTTTGAGATCAAAATTTTCATCAGCCCCTCGCCTTAAAATATTGCAACGGGAGATAAATTGTAATTCGATTACCACTTAATGTTTATTAACGAACATGTTCCACAGAAAAGCGATGTGTCAGTTTTTTTTTTTTTTATTTCTTTTTCTAGGGACACTGATGCTTAAGGCTGGAAAAAATATTTTAAAAAGAAGTTAGCTTATCATGTGACGAAAATCGACATTTTTTTTTCCATCTTTTATTTCTGATTGTACTTCGACCTAACAGTAAAATCCGACGATGTTTCGTCGCTAAATTGCTAACAAAAACGTCAAAAAAAAAAAAAAAGACATACTTACATGGAGTAATATAATCCGAGTATTTTTCTTTTTAAAATAAAAGCCCCAAAATGATAAAATGCATATCAATCTCATGGTCGGCCATCAATAATCGATAACCTCGATCGATTCCTTAAACTAAGCAGGAGCATAGTTCTTCCAGATTGCACGTAGTGAGCCCTTTTAAAAACCTTTTCAATTATATAAAGAATAGAAATATGAATTGTTTTCTTTCATCCTGACTTAGAGGGCACCTCTGATATCGAAGCGCATACGATTTTAAAATGTTTAATTTTTTCGCGCGTTTTTCCACTTTTGAGATAGGCCGCGCGATCAAACACGGCTTTAATTACTCAGATTCAAATAAAAATAAGATTTAAAAAGACGAACTGGGAAAAAAGGAAACGTTTCTGTTATACATACATAGTAATATACAGGGTGTCCCATCAAAACAAAACAGGAAATTTTAGATTTACTATATGATGAAAAAAATTAACTGACATATAAAAGAATTAACTATATGTTTTGCTAAATGGATGAACGAAAAAATACATATATAAGGTGTTCCGAAAGTCTTGTTACCCCCTCCCAAAAAAGTAATGCGAACAATAGATCCAGTAATACAGTAATACAAAGCACATGTACTGGATTAAGTTTATTCACTTTCATTGACGTTGTCACACATCGAAAAGGTCTGTATGAACACCATTTTTGTGACACAAATTAATGCGGCGCCATTTCCTGTGTGGTATTTTACAAAGCTGTACTTTATTGATTGCTGCAAAGGCTCTCTGAATGGCGTCCTTCAATAGATGGGTCTTCTGGTGTCGTTCATGTGAAACTCTCTCCTTGATAATACCCTACAGAGCGTTGAAATAGAAAATTGTATTACGCAGAGGTGACAAGACGTTCGGGCCAGCCTGTAGATTTTTTTTTTAACCATTTGTTGTTCCAGGATGCTGCAGTTAACAACTTTTCAACACGAGGTGATTGTTCTCCTTTAAGAAAGAACATCCAACTTGGGGACTGAAAAAATGCCAAGAAATTTTGCCAGAATTCTTTAGTTTGAGCGCCACATCTAACATTTGTGGTTTTGTTCTGTTTGAAGCCACTAAATTTATCATTTGCTTTTGTTTCAAATAACTGTAAGAAATTTTCCAACAATTAAATAAACTGTACCAAATTTCATGTTGTTTTTTTTTTTTTTGGTGGGGGTGCACTGTAGATTCTTCCTGAAGTTTATTTCGAATATGCTTGTTCCGAGAGGTTAGAGCGTTCGCTTTCTGTCTATGTGACCTGGGTTCGAATCTCAGAATGGTCGATTTGCCAGAAAGGTGAGTTCTTGATGTTACCTGTCCAGGAGAGACGATCCCAAAGTGTCTGATAACCATACCCAGAATTGACCCTATCCTTGTGAATGAAATGGTTGACGGAGAGTGAAATTGAACAGCCTTTGATAGTTGTGTTAGTCACAAGTCATCGAACTTGAGTTTTGTCCAGACTGCTGGTCACGTTAAAAAACGCACTGTCTCCCAGAAACTGTAACTAACGTCCGTTCAGCATAGTTGCAGTATACACCATAGGTGGGCTCTGTGGGTGTTGAACAAACACAAATGTGACTGCCTGAGCTAGCATCTGCAACAGGGATTGACTAGCCGCCTTAGTAGACTAGAATAAGCGGGTACCATAATAAAGTTATGTCGCTTGTTCGTTTTAAAACAAAGAGAAAATATATTGCTATATCGAAGAGAAAAGAATAAAGACAAAATGGCTTAGTTCCAGCACATAGTATAAGAACAAATAAAAAGTATCCATTATTTATATCCGGACTATGATCTTTTTCTTTGTTGTTTTTACAACATTTGGTTGCTGTACCCTTCGGCCTTCACCAAATGCTTGTCGGTCCAGTAAACCTTCCTTGAAGGTTACCCGGATCGAAATGTACCTGATGCTGGTTAGGGAGCACAATGGCCGAAACGTTATGATAACAACAATAAAGATGAGGACAATAGTCCACATATAAATAATGTAAATAATGATAAGACCTCGTCCCAGAAATTGAAAGAGAAAAAAATAATTTCGCATATTTAAATGATTGCGTGTGGGTGGGGTATATATGTAGGCTGTGTGTGGTATGTGCATGTGTGTCGTGCAGTGGGTGTGTCCTTTGTGGTGGCATGAGTATGTGTGTGTTAACTGTATGTAAGATTTTACCGCTGTTGCATTTTGACAGCATAAGATTCGTTAATAAAGGTGAAATGGTGAGATGAAAATGTCTAAAACAAAACAGCTCTCTATTACTCACCACAGGGAACCACCCTTGCCGCCCATTAAAATGTCTGATGCTCAACTCCACGAGAGCACCTCTTTGCGACTGCTTGGTCTCACATTGTCTGCTGACCTGAGATGGAACAATTACATTGAATCAATAGCTTCATCCACCGCAAGGAAATTTGGTTCGCTGTATCGCGCCAAAAAAGTTTTTCGCGCCGGAGTCGATCCTTCAAATCTACAAATCAACCATTCGCCGTTGCATAGAATACTGCTGCCATATATAGTCTGCTGGCCCCGCTGTTCGCCTTAACGTCCTCGACAAGATCCAGAGACGGATATGCAATGTGATTGACCCTGATCTGGCATCTCGTCTACAGTTACTCTCTCACAGATGTGCCGTCACCTCCTTTTGTCTTTTCTACAAATACTTTCACGGTAACTGCTCCGACGAGCTACTTTCACTAAATCCCAGACTGCATGAATTTAAGCGTGCTACTAGGCTGGCATCACGTTTCCCACCCTTTCACTGTCCCACCTGTAGAATTCCCTTCTTATTACTTGTTTCCCTGATAACTATAATCTCCAACTATTCAAATGTAATGTCAGTCGACATCTCCAGATGCCCTGAACTATCCACTGAACTTCTCTTCATCCTTTCCTCAAACACGCTTCTTTACTCTCGCAACTCTGTAATCCCCTGCGTACTAGTGGCATCCCACCTTGCTTGGGGTGAAATGCTTAAAAATGTATAGAAAGTGCACTGATTTCTAAATCTTCTACGGTAAATTTGCGTCCAGCTTCGCAGGAAATCTAGGAGCTTGTAGAAATCGTCTAACAACGTGAATGCTCTGCAATGGTCAAATGATAAAATGTTTAGTATCATCAAGAGAGGAAATAACCTGGCGACCAAACATAATCCTGATGGCCTTTTTGATAAAACCTTTCTTTAAAAAATTTAGTTATTTCAAAAATATAAAATAGAAATAAAATGAAAATATTCTTTGCCAGCCGTCAAATCATAAGAATTTTGGCTGCAAAGCTCTTGCAACATCACTCTTATGTTTTAGATCATTTCACATGTTCTTACCCGATGAGAAAATTCAAAATAGAATTTCAGATATTCGAAATCAAACATATGTTTGTCAAGAATATAGACTCTGTTGTTTTTAAAAACTGTTTCCAATCGGTCTACAATTTTCTTGTTATTCTCATAGAAACGTTATTATAGCAACAATAATGATGAGAACAAATTCCTGCCGTATTCGTTACGTACAGTTTGGCATAAATACCCTTGGGAAAGTGTTATTTAAATTGAGTTTGTTCCTATCGTCTTTACTTGTTTCATCTGCCTAGTCTTCTTTTGTCTTTTTCTCTTCCATTCTCCCCTTGACCTTCTCGGCAATTCAAGCAACTGTCAAAAAACCTTAAATGGGGGTTAAAACTGAATGACAAAAGTTCTCCAGACAATGGACAAAACAAAATTTGACAAGATGGAAAAAAAAAAGCACTGCCTTCTTTAAAGCGCCACTAGTTTATCTTATCCCGGTAACACAGGGGTTATATCTCCATTAAAAGCTAAAGACTCTAGCTAGTTGACTAAAGGTTGTAAGCTCAATCTCTTCGCTGAGGAGTATATTGTATTTTTATTTTTCTCTTTGTCTCTGATACTATTTGTCGTTGACGTCGGAAAACGGAAGAAAGTTTTGTTAAAACATAAGAAAATGTTATGTACTGTGAAACATTGAAACGAGAAGGGTTGGTACCGAAAACCCGTGAGAAGAATTGAGTTTTTAATTCTCAATGGATGTGCGGTTAGTTTAAGGATCAGTGACTCGGATGGTTTAATGTTTCCTCGAGTTTAAATTCCAGCCATGTTCTTTCATTTTCTCACAAATACCTTTGGAAAAGTGTTATTTAAACTGAGTTTGTTCCTATCGTCTTTGCTTGTTTTAAGTTCCTAATCTACTTTTGTCTTTTTCGCTTCCATTCTTCGCTTGACTTTCTTAACAATTCGAGCAACTGTCAAAAACCCTTAAATGGGGTTAAAACTGAATAACAAAATTTCTCCAGGCAAAGGACAAAACAAAATCGGACGAGATGCAAAAAAAAGCACTGCCTTCTACAGATCGCCTCTTTCTTTCTTTTTATGTGCCGTGCCCTTTCAGGACGTAGGCGATCATGGCTTCCTACTTCTCCCTATCTCTTGTAGTTCTCAATAAGTTTCGTCCCTTTGCCACCTCCCCCAGACAACGTTTTGTCATCTACTTGCTTAAACCCGCCATGTTATGCCTTCCTTTATCTGTCTTTCCCTTTATTCGACCTGTGAGTATCAGATTCTCCAGGCCCTCCTTTCTCATTACGTACGCCAGAAACTTCCGTTGCCTCTTCCTGATGTTAAGTATAAGCCTCTTCCTTGTTTGCATCCTCTGCAAGACCTCATCATTGCTCACACGTTCGGTCCATGACATCCTCAGCGCCACAAGGTAATCTTATTCCTATACACAGGGGTTATGTCTACATTAAACGCTAAAGTCTCTAGCTAGTTGACTGAAGGTTGTGAGCTCAATCCCTATGTTGGGCAGTACATTTTATTCTTATTTTTCTCTTCATCCACATAAACTTATAAGAGAGAAATATCCTTGTCTTTTATAGAGTTGCACTATGTGATATTATTGTGGCCAACAAGGGTTACATCTCCATGAAAAGCTGAAGTCTCTAGCTGGTTGACTGATGATTATGATTTCAATCCCTTCTTTGGGTAGTAAATTTTACTTTTTATTTTTCTCTTCAATACATTTGATACCCTGAAAAATATCATAATGATAATATTAATAATCTAGTGAAGCAATGTTGATTCTGGTCAGTACTCGGATTGGTAACCACTTGGAAATTCCAGGAGCTGTAAGTTTGGATAATGGCTCAGAATTGCTAATCAGAGATTCCAATTCCAGTTGGGTTTATTATATTCACTTACACGCAAATATCCTTGGGAAAGGTATGAATCCACCTCTTCTCCCTCCAGCTATGGGTTAATTAGTAAGACTTGCATCACTAAACCATTATTATTTCAAAAAGAATTTCTTAAAATCTAAAAATATTTTTCTGGCTTTACATAACCTACAAAAGGTCGATAACCCGTAGAAAATGAATCAGTTGTTATCTGCTTGTTTTGATCTCTTAGACTTCATCTTTCTTCCACTTTCCGCTTGACTATCTCAGCAATGCAACAACTGGCAAAAATCCTGAGTGGGTTTAAAACTGAGTGACAAAAAGTTCAACAGGCAATGGACAAAAAAATAAACTGTGTCGCAAGACAATGCCTTCGCTTTTATAGAGCTCCCCTGGGTGATCTCATTCAGGTCAACATGAGTGACATTACCATTAAAAGCTAAAGTCTCTAGCTGGATGACTGAATTGTGTGAGCTTAATCTCTTTGCTAGGCAGTGACTTACATTGTTGCTTTTTCTCTTTAACCGCAAAAAGCTATCAATCCATCTCTTCTCGTTTCGTCTATGTGTTAAAGAGCAAGGAAGACGAGGACTTCTAGAATTGGTTGGAAACCGCTTTAAAGTTGATGGCCCATTAAAAACACCCAGTAGCTAAGACTACTCATTGAGAGGTTCGAAGTTCTTAATTCTTGTTAATTTCATACTCTACAGCAGGCGAAGAGAATAAAACGAAACTGACTGTAATTAGAACTTCGATTTCCAGTAGACGACCTGCAAATCCAAGCTTACATCACCTGGTACTCGAAAATGGTCACTCATCTAATGACTGACTGGGCTGAATGTTGCTCAACTTCGGTGATCGTACGAGAACTCGTAACCGCAAGAAATTCCCTTCCAATCAAAATTTTAGCTATAATAATGCATTGGAAATTAGAAGAAAAAAAAAAGAATATTTTGGTTGGACAATCAGTTATGTGCCATACGTGATACACCCTTAGGCGATCATGTATCTTTCGATACATGACTGACGAGGCAGATTTTTTTCCCGTAGTAGACTTCCATTTCTTTCTGCATAAGAACAGTTGCCATCCAAGGCTATAGAACCCAGTCTGTCTTTCTATTTACCATAGCTGGGAGAAGAGGATCCATGTCTTTCACAAGGGTATAACGTGCTAAATCGTTTGGGAAAGGTATAAATCCTCTTCTTCTATATAATTCGAAGAAAAATAATTTATCTATAATAAAAAAAAACAATGCTTGTTAATCTCAGATGTGTTTAACAATTATGGCTGATATGCCGGCTTTTATTTTCTCCCGACTTCAGCAAGCCCACCCTGTTACCCACAGCTTATTCTCTTCTTGACTTTTATGTTATTTTAGAATATTACTTATTTCTCAGCCAGTCAGCTATCTGCTATGCGTGATAAATGCTTAGGCGATCATTTATCTTTCGATACATGACTGACGAGGCAGATTTTTTTCCCGCACTAGGTTGCTATTTCTTTCTGCGGCAGACCAGTTGCCATCAAAGGCTATAGAACCCGGTATGTCCTGCTATTTACCAATACCTGGGTGTTGGAGAAGAGGATTCATACCTTTCCCAAGGGTATTAGCACGTAAGTGTTGGACAGTACGTAATTATAATTAAAAGATTATCTGTAGGATTTGCCTATTAATATTTCCCGGGGAAATATTCTTCTAAATCATTTTGTTTTGTGACTTTTTATTGAATAGAGCAGTGTTTACTTGGTAAATTTTCTTAAGCTGCTGAGGAACTTATTGCTTCTTTTTTTTTTTTTTTTCGCATGTATTAATATCCGATAGCTACGCTGATGGCATTTACAGGGTTCTTCTGCAAACGACTAATGAATGCTGTTTATTCCTTGTAGCCTTTTCTCTTTATAAATTCGTCACCTGTAGTATTACCGTCTAGCACCTGTCATAAAACGACGAGTCATGACACTACGTTTTAGTCAGAGGCGATCATTTAAACACAAAGAATCTTCAAATGTCAGCTTTCCTCTCAGGTTGTCATTTTTTTCTTTCTTTTTCTTTTTTCTTTTTTTTTTTTTTTACATATTTCCAGTCGATTCGAAACTACTGTCTGAATATCACGTGAGAGACAGAAGATGACAAGTGACAGGCGTCTCGCTCCACCCGTCATCATTACATGTCCCCACTGATTCTCCCAGTTCCTCACTCCATTCTCCCGCACTTTGATTGCCTTGATGAAAAGAAATTTCCTGAATGAAACAATGATCTCGTTGTTGCTTACTTTATCTGTCAATTTTGACGAGAATTTGAAACGGGAGTTTCTGGAAATTGAATTGTTGTGACTAAGCTACTCACCTCGATCAGTTGAATCATGGCGGCAAGTCGGAGCCCAACTGTGGAACGGCTGAAGCGCGGGAATTAGTCATGTGACTGATGCGAAGCGGGAAAATCCACCTCCACATTTTTTATCAGGCACATTTCACATACTTTTCTAATAACGTAACTAATAATAATAATATTAATAATAATGGAGAGATGAACAAAAGCTAAAAGTAGGAGCGGGATTACAGTAATAGAAGAGAAAAAAGAAAGATGAGGGCAAAGGTATAGGAGAAAAATAAAGAAAAAGGTTAAGGTAAGAGAAGAAACTAAAAAAGAACCTGAAGAAGAAGAAGAAGAAGAAGAAGAAGAAGAAGAAGAAGAAGAAGAAGAAGAAGAAGAAGATGAATAATAATAATAATAATAATAATAATAATAAGAAGAAGAAGAAGAAGAAGATGAAACAAAGATAAAGAGTAGTAGTAGGAGAAACGAAAGAGTGTTGTAGGAGGAACAAGGAATATGAATATATTTCTACGGAAATAGAAGAGAAAAATCTAGACGGGGAGGACAAAGAGAGAAGAGGAAAAAGAAAAAGAAGAACACGTTAAGGTAAGAGAAGAAACAAAAAAAAAAGAGTCTGGATAAGGAGGTGAAAGAGAAAGACAATGGTTGATATAATATAAAATCAAAGAAGAAGAAGAAGGGATAAAAATGAAGAAGGAGAATGGATAAAGAACAACAATAACAAGGGATGAAGAAAAAGAACAATGACAATGACAACAAGGGAAAAAAGAAGAAGAAGAAAAAGAAGGGATAGAAAAGAAGAAGAGACAACAAAGAAGAATAACAACAACAAGAGCAAGAGAAGAAGAAGAAGAACAACAACAACAAAAGGGATAAAGAAGAAGAAAAAGACGAGATAAAGAAGAAAAACAACAATGGATAAAGAAGAAGAAGAAGAAGCGATAAAAAAGAAGAAAGAAACATACCAACAACAACAACTAGGGATAAAGAAGAAGAAGAAGAAGAAGAAGAACAACAACAACAACAACAACAAGGAAAAACGTAAGAACAACAACAAGGGATAAAGAAGAAGAAAAAGAAAGGATAAAAAAGAAAAAGAAAGAATAACAACAACAATAACAACAGGGGATAAAGAAAAAGAAGAGATAAAGAAGAAGAAAAGATAAAAAAGAAAAAGAAGAAAAGCAACAAGGAATAAAAAAGAATGGATAAAGAAAAAGAAGAGATAAATAAGAAGAAAAGTGTTCTTACAGAAGAATAGGGTATAAAGAAAAAGAAGAAGAAGAAGAAGAAGAAAAAGAAGAAGAAGAAGAAGAAGAAGAAGAAGAAACAAGGTAAAAAAGATGATGGAAATAGGAAGAAGAGGAGAAGGAGGAGTAAGAAGAAGAAGAAGAAAAAGAAGAAGAAGAAGAAGAAGAAGAAGAAGAGTTACTGAAGCAACAGAAGAAATGATGAAAAGAAAAAAGTAATGAAAAATAAAGATTGATCTAAAATTGAAAAAGAAAATGAGAACAGAAAGATGAAAACCGTCAATACACTTATAGAAGCATTTTTCAAAAATCCATTCAACATGACACAAAAATGCTTACTACTTTTTTTTACAAAAATAAAATAATAATAAATTTACAGTTGCATAGTATTTACTATAGAGTTTATTTTATTCAATGTAAAATCGAATATCGATTAAATTACTATATGTAAAAAGTTAAATCGAACATACAGTATTTTAATCTCTAGCGTATTAAACCCACAACTATTCAGCATCACGGAACATTACTTAAGATATATCCGATTTTGTAATCATTTAAGATTCTGCTTGCAACTCCTGAATGTAGGTTTATCTCAATGCTCGAGGTATCATCATAAAAATTCAGCGCGAAACGAATCAACTTTATACACTGACGTGTCAAAAGTTATAGGTGATCAATTATTTTAAATGTAATCGTGGGTGGGGCCACCGAAACTTTACCGTCACGGAACTGCACAAGTCGTGCTCTAATATCTGGCAGGTCAGTGTGAACTGGCTAGGCTGATTATAGCAAAGTGAAGTGAATTACTTTGCACCAACTTTTGAATTCGTAGCATGATAATGTTTGTCGGATCGTTTGGTTTGGTTTGTTTTACGGCATATCAACCTCAACGGGTTATTTAATGCCGACAAGATATTTTCCAAAATAGTATTGCTGGTTGTATTTTTGTCCAATAATATATTGCTGATAATTCTTATTTTTCCAAGAATGTATTGCTGGTAATAATTTTATCCAAGAATGTATTGCTGGTAATAATTTTATCCAAGAATGTATTGCTGGTAATAATTTTATCCAAGAATGTATTCCTGGAAATAATTTTTCTTCAAAAATGTATTGTTTGTAATATTTTACAAGAAAAATTTTGCTGGTATTAAAACCTATTTTTACACTTTCATAGTGTTTTGACCCCAGTTTGGAGGTTAACTATTTAACTATAGCTGGGACCCTAACAAGTGCTACCACCCCGATTCAGGATAGACCTGGGGACAGCCGCAATTAAGAGGTGCTTCCACTCTCCTCAAAACCTCTTACCTAGGACGCGGATGTAGTTTATCGTTTTACCCAGGACGCGGATGTAGTTTATCGTCTTACCCAGGACGCGGATGTAGTTTATCGTCTTACCTAGGACGCGGATGTAGTTTATCGTCTTACCTAGGACGCGGACCTAATTTATCGTCTTACCTAGGACGCGGATGTAGTTTATCGTTTTACCCAGGACGCGGATGTAGTTTATCGTCTTACCTAGGACGCGGATGTAGTTTATCATTTTACCCAGGACGCGAATGTAGTTTATCGTCTTACCTAGGACGCGGATCTAATTTATCGTTTTACCCAGAACGTGGATGTAGTTTATCGTTTTACCCAGTACACGGATGCAGTTTATCGTCAGACCCCGGACGGGTTTCTCAGATGGATGCGACTTTGCATTTCTAAAATTGTTGAGACATTTGTCCTCCCGCGATCTACGGTATAACCGTAGTAGTTATGCCTGATGGGAAGCATCACCTTCCATCAGGTATGAGCACGGGTCCTTAATGATCGTGATCATAGGCATCCCAATAGAATTATCCTTCTATATGCCGCATCCCTCTAGGACATAGGCGATCATGGTTCTTCGAAACTTCTTATCCTTTGTGGATCTTAGCAGTTTTTTTCTCCATTTGCAAAGGCTCCCGCTTCCCGTTCCGCCATTCGTTCACACAAGCTTGTCAAGTAAATAACTCGATGCATTCCTCTATCTCTCTTGCTCTTAATATGTCATGTGACGATTAAGTTTTCCCAGCATTCCTTCCTAGTTACGCGTTCAAGGAATTTCAGTTGCCTTTTTCTGGTTCTGTTCTTTCTGTTGCCATTTTCTTTAAGACTTCTTTGCTGCTTATTCGCTTCGTTCATGAAATTTTCAGTATCCTTCATTATAAGGAAATCTTCCACATTCATTGACCGAAGAGCCAGTGCTACTTTTGGTTGAAATCTATAGAATCTTTCTCTTAAGATAATTTTTCAGGAAGATAGGTTTCTCAAGTCCAGTAACTGTTATTGCTCTTTCCAGTATTGTTGGTGGCTTGCTTCCTAACCATTTATTTGAGGTTGTGTTCAACATCAGTATCTTGATTATATCATTATTTTCTCTTCGATTTACATGTGATATCCACTTTAGTTGTTGCTGCTGCTGAAAGTCATCAAGTGATGTGGCTTCCGCTTTTTGGTTCAGTTCGTTGTTTGTTGCTCTGTAGCGCTAGTCCATAACGTTTGAAGGAGTATGGCCCTCACTAAGAACTACAGATTCCATTTTCTCAATAGAAAGTTTTGAATAGGAAAAAGCATGAAAAAAAATCTGTAGATTAAATATTGTATAAACTGTCACCTGATGATTGCAGATTCAATACAATTATAAAAAAAAAAAACACAGACAGTGGCTGATAAGCTTTGTCTACAACAACAAAGGAAACTATTATTATTATTGCGCATATTGAGTCGCCATTTTGGCGAGAAACAAAGACGATTGAGGCTGAACAACACGGCATTTGAATAACAATTTCTCGGACAAATATGGCACCTGAAGGCAGATGGCTATAGCTGGGTGCCTTGCTATAGCTATACAGGAACGTGAGCATGCCTCCAGGAACACCGGTACACGGCTGTCAATTCTCAAGTGACGACTTTGATACAAGCGAGACTTCAGACCAGATACTCAGAAGTAGATCAGCGTACAGTAATAATTTTTCTCATGTAATGTTTCGTTCTCAGAACTACTCTAGCTTTCTACAAATGTATCCAGAATAGATACTGTGCGTGAATAGATTGTTTTTGTTATGCACGTCGGCGGTCACCAAAATGATGTGGGGTTACACACATCATAGCAGCAGAAATTAGCCTCGTGTTCACAGAAATAAAAGCATACTTGACAGGAAATAAAATGTACAAAAATAACAGGAAAACATGGTAAATTTTATGTTAATTTCGTACAATTTATTCATATTTTTCTTGTGTGTATTGGTGCGTGTATTTTTAGGATAAAATTGTTTTATTATACATGTGATAAAAGGGAAAAGTCACTCCGTATTATTACACGCCATATCACAGAGAGAAGTTTGAGACGTGTTGCCCGTAGCAAGGTTCGTGGCGAAGAGATTAAAGTTAATTCTCTAACGTATGTATGGCAGGGACAGTTTTGTTGCATAAAGATACATTAAATAACGAGAAGAATTATAAAAGATGAAAATATTATATATCCATTTTAGCGTTACGAACAATTTTCTTCTTTTTTCTTCCTTCTACCTTCAGTTCTCTTCTATATTTTCTGTTTCTATCTACTTCCACATTTTTCTTTACATACATTTTCTAAAGAAAACCATTCGCGCTTAGTAGCGCATTATCGCTTTCTTTCTTTCTTTCTTTCTTTCTGCATTAATTTATTTCGTCATTTAGCGTCCTTTTCTTTCTTTCTTTCTGTCTTTTTCTTTCTTTCTTTCTTTCTTTCGTTCTTTCTTTCTTAGCCTCCTTCTTTTTTTCCTTCTTTCTTCCTTTCTTTAGTCTCTCTCTCTCTTTCTTTCTTTCTTTAGTGCCCCTTTCTTTATTTCTTTATTTATTTTATTCATTAGCCCCCCTTTCATTATTTTCCTTTAGCCTCCATTTCTTTCTTTTTTCTTTCTTTCTTTCTTTCATTAGCCTTCCTTTCTTTCTTTTTTATTAGCCTCCCTTTCTTTCTTTTTTCTTTCTTCCTTTCTTTCGTCTCTCTTACTTTCTTTCTTTAGTGACCGTTTCTTTATTTATTTCTCTCTCTCTCTTTCATTCATTAGTCTCCCTTTCTTTCTTTTTTTCTTTAGCCTCCATTTCTTTCTTTTTTCTTTCTTTCTTTCTTTCTTTCTTTCTTTCTTTCTTTCTTTCTTCATTAGCCTCCCTTTCTTTTCCCTTCTTTCTTCCTTTCTTTAGTCTCTCTCTCTTTCTTTCTTTCATTAGTGCCCCTTTCTTTATTTCTTTCTTTCTTTCATTCATTAGGCTACCTTTCTTTCTTTTTTCTTTAGTCTCCATTTCTTTCTTTTTTTTTCTTTCTTTCTTTCTTTTTTCTTTCTTTCTTTCTTTCTTTCTTTAGCGTAACTTTCTTTCTTTCTTTCATTCATTAGCCATCCTTACTTTCTTTATTATTAGCCTCCCTTTCTTTCTTTTTCCTTCTTTCTTCCTTTCTTTAGTCTCTCTTTCTTTAGTGTCCCTTTCTTTCTTTATTTATTTATTTCTCTCTCTCTCTCTTTCTTTCTTTCTTTCTTTCTTTCTTTTATTCATTCATTAGTCTCCCTTTCTTTCTTTTTCTTTAGCCTCCATTTCTTTCTTTCTTTCTTTCTTTCTTTCTTTCTTTCTTTCTTTAGCGTTCATTTCTTTCTTTCATTAGCCTCCCTTTCTTTCTTTCTTTCTTTCTTTCTTTCTTTCTTTCTTTCTTTCTTTCTTTCTTTGGCTCCCCTCTCTTTTTTCTTTCTTTTGCTTTCCTTTCTTTTTTTCTCTTCCCTTTTTTTCTTCTTCTTATTATGTACGCTTTCTTTTTTCTCACCAAAACCAGACACCCTGCCAAATATGTCTTTCTAGTTCATCTTTCCTCATAATCAAAACAGAATGGTCCTTTATTTATCGGAGGTAATCTCTGAGCGTATAATGTATTTTTAAAATTGAATTTAATGGAGATTCTAATTTTCTTTTATTAATAAAATATAAAGTCACCTTTTTAAAAAAATAATTTTGTAATACTCTTATGCTTCTTAAAATAACCGTTCCTTTTTTATTTAGTTATTTATTTCCTTTCTTCTTTTTCCCTCTTTCAATCTCATTATATAGAGTTTATTTTCCTCACTAAAACGAGACAAAATCACTAATGAAAATGTAGTTATAGAATGAAACGAAACGTGTGCACAAAATGTATTGATTATACAAACATATCAATAATAACATATCCCAAATTTTTACCTACTTATACCTATTTGTACATCTTTCTTTCCTGGCAGTCCAAACATGATGGTGTATTATTTATCTGTGGTCATGGCAGGGCGTAAATGTCGTGCGAAAGGGGAACATGCAGAAGTGTAATATAATGATTCGCAGTAGTGTTTGTCTTAATGTTTTTTTGTGTTTGTTTGTTGTTTTGTGTTTGTTGTTTTTTGTTGTTTTTTTTTTGTTGTTTTTTTATTGTTAAAATAGTGGGAAGGGAATCCACTTCTCCTGTTGTAAGTATTGTTTCATTGTGTTATAGAGTAGTTTTACAGTGGAGGCTTGTATTTCACTAAGTCGGTCCTAAAATAGGTTCGACGTACAAAACGTTAGGAACTTGATATAATAGTTAATGACGCAGTAATCTAGTTGTGGTGGCTGATACTTTAATATCCGACATCGACTGACTGACCAACTCTCTGACTGACTCACTGAGCGACTGCTACTACTCCTGCTTATTATAGGTGGGAGAGTCTATTAACAATAGAATAGGTGTGTTTCACTATAACACATTGATATAATTCAGCTTGGTGAACCAACATTTTATCAATACTTAATTGATGGCAGCATCTAACATCAAAAGTATCGTTATGTTTTTTGTTTTTTGTTAATAGAACAATAAGACATCAAATATTGCTCGATAATTCCATTCGTCTAAAAAGTCTTGCATTAATTCCTGATCACCGACAATGTCTTCTTTTTTTATCGCTTTTTTTTTTTGACCAATTACTTTCTGACCTTTCATTTTGCGTTCCAAAACTGTGAAAAACTATTAAAAGGGCACTGATGCAACTTCGCCACACACACACGTTACGTCTGTTTTTGAGTCCCGCAACTGATCTCTTGACCGCTGCTTGAGATTCGCACGTGCTACTTCTTCCGTGGGGTGCTAAATGCATCACCTAAATTTTCTTTTTGGTGGCATCCACACTCTATTCATAAAGTGATAGCAGTATCTGAAATATAAGGTATATATAAGGCGAAATTAAGTCCCAGAAAACGAAACAATGACAGGACACATTAAAGGCAAGAGAGACGAATAGACTACTTATTATGCTTGAGCAAGTACATGCCAGGAGTAGAGCTCTAGAGAAATGGTTATGGATGAAGAAATAAAGATGAGATGAAATATTTTAGAGCAATAAAAATAAAAGAACATATGAAGAAAGACAGATGAAGAAATACTGAGAGCAATAAAAGACATGAAATAAAAAAAACATGAGGAAATACAATAAAAGACAGATGAAGAAATACTGAGAGCAATAAAAGACAGATGAAGAAATACTTAGAGCAATAAAAGACATGAGGAAATACTGAGAGCAATAAGAGACAGATGAAGAAATACTGAGAGCAATAAAAGACAGATGAAGAAATACTTAAAGTAATAAAAAACATGAGGAAATACTGAGAGCAATAAAAGACAGATGAAGAAATACTGAGAGCAATAAAAGACAGATGAAGAAATACTTAGAGCAATAAAAGACATGAGGAAATACTGAGAGCAATAAGAGACAGATGAAGAAATACTGAGAGCAATAAAAAAAGAGATGAAGAAAAAGAGCAATAAAAGATAGATAAAAGAAAGATGAATAAAAGACAGATGAAGAAATACTGAGAGCAATAAATGCCAGGTGAATAAATACTTAGAGCAATAAAAGACAGGTGAATAAATACTTAGAGCAATAAAAGACATGAGTAAATACTTAGAGCAATAAAATAAAGATGAAGAAATACTTAGAGCAATAAAAGACATGGGGAAATACTTAGAGCAATAAAAGATACGTGGGAAGCAATAAAAGGCAGATGAAGAAATAATTAGAAAAAATAAAAGACAGATGAAAAAATATTTAGAACAATAAAAGACATGGGGAAATACTTAGAGCAATAAAATACAAATGAAGAAATAAGCAATAAAATACAGATGAGAAAATACGAAGAGCAATAAAAGAGATGAGGAAATACTCAGAGCAATAAAAGACACGAGGAAATACTTAGAGCAATAAAAGTCATGAAGAAATTCTTAGAGCAATAAAAAACAGATGAAGAAATACTTAGAACAATAAAAGACATGGGGAAATACTTAGAGCAATAAAAAACAAATGAAGAAATACTCAGAGCAATAAAAGACAGATGAGGAAATACTTAGAGCAATAAAAGACACGAAGAAATACTTAGAGCAATAAAAGTCAGATGAAGAAATACTTAGAGCAATAAAAAACATGAGGAAATACTTAGAGCAATAAAATACAAGTGAAGAAATACTTAGAGCAATAAAAGACATGGAGAAATACTTAGAGCAATAAAAGACAGTTATAAAGGCCCATGTACCGAAAGGATATGGCAGATAAAAAAACTCGATAATTATTAAACCAGGAAGAATTACTTGAGTATTAATAACACTAGTGTACCCGTGCCCTCAAAAATGTCGGCAATTGTTAGAAAGTTTTAATTATGAGAAGCAATGAAATAAAAGTCTTGAAACAATGTATCCACAACTAAAACAGAAACCAATGGACCCTTTAAATAATTCGTTCCCTTTATAATTTTTAAACTTTCAATTGTATCTCTGATTCATTGATTACTTCTGGTATTATATAAATCGATTTTTGCTCAATTTCGTTTCATGTTTAAAAAAACGCGTGATTAATATAACAGAAATGGAAATATCTATCAAAAGAAAGACATTAACAAAAATACAAAGACGTCGATGAAAAAAGGCTATTTCAAGATCTAGTTGAAACCAGACGATCACTTTGCAGACAAAGGAATCTGAGTGTCTCACACGAAAGCCATCATCAAATAAGACTGCAATCTAAGAAACGCAGAAGGAAAGGCGCTGATTAATTAAACGCTTCATTTTACACGGTAACTAATTTTGTCTAAATGCAGATAAATATTTTAGTTTTGTAGATCATTAAAACGACTAAGGGAATTAATCACCCATATATATATACTAACTTGCATCCCATCTCACTACAGATGGTACAGGAAATATATAAATAAACACACTATTTACAATATTCGGACTATTGTCCTCATCTTTGTCGCCATATTTATTACAACGTTCGGCCCTTTAGTATCTGTCTATATTTCTGAGATGATGTATTATGTACACGATTTACATTATTCGGACTATTGTCCTCATCTTTATCGCCATATTTATTACAACGTTCGGCCCTTTAGTATCTGTCTATATTTCTGAGATGAGGTATTATGTACACTATTTACTTTGTTCGGACTATTGTCCTCATCTTTGTCGCCATATTTATTACAACGTTTCGGCCGGGGCGTACAACGACCGAAACGTTGTAATAAATATGGCGACAAAGATGAGGACAATAGTCCGAATAATGTAAATAGTGTACATAATACCTCATCTCAGAAATATAGACAAATAAACACACGTTGATAACTGATATGGTTTGAATATTGTTATTAGGATTAATTTATCGTAAAAACAGTACAGTCAACCATTATTCTTCTTTTTTTTTCTTCTATTTACTTTCATCTCGATTTTTTAGTTGCTTTTTATAATAATTTTACTCGGGCTGCCAATTTACGCCAGCGTGTAAAAGAAAATGGTCGGGAAAAAAAACGACAGATTTCTGATGAGGAGCGATATAAGATCACTCTTGTTTCATCAAATAAAAATGAAGGAAATTAAATACTTGTCAAAAATGAAAATGATGACTGACAATGGTTCATCGAATAGAAAACTAAAAAGAAAATAAATAGAAATTAAAAATGAAAATTATTGGCTGACAATTTTTGATCGATTTAAAAAGAATTACATAAAAGTAAATACTAAGCAAAAAAATTAAAATAATTATTTACAAAACTTCATCTAATTAAAAATTATAATGAAAATAAATACCAATGAAATTTAATACTGGCTGACACAGCTTCAAAAATATAAATGTAATAATAAAATTACTATGGCAAAAACCACGAACGCCTAAAGTTCTCTTCTCACAATATCAACAAAATTATATCGGGAATAATTATCAGATTCTCTTTAAGAGCACTCAGAATTTGTAGCCCTGATACGTACATGATGAGGAGAACTTTCACATTCCACAAATAAAAGAATGAGCCATTCCAGTATCAAGGTATATTGCTCTACCTACCAACCCCATCGCAACTATAATTGAAATGATTTTATCTGGGCTTAATATAAAAATGTGTTACAACTACCCCCAAGACAATTAGACTTAATTAATAGAAAATAAAATAAGCATAATAGCTAAAACTTGAAGGTGGAAGAATTTATTCTATCACTGTAATGATTGCCACAAAGAATACATAGGAGAAACCTCGAGGAATTTAAATAAAAGATTATATAATCACAAATGAGATATTTTACAAAAGAACACTGTCAATGCTTTAGTCGTTCACCTTAACACTTTCACTGCTACTCATTTGCCCAGTGCTACCCCAATCCGGCCAGCCATTTTTAAAGAAAATGCCAAATTTCAACCTACATATTTTATTACACAGAAAACTGGCACCAGTGTGTTTTACGGCATTCCATTTTCATGGATATACCTGGGAATGACTTAGCAGATCAGTAATGGGTATACACATGATATCTTTTGAAGCATTGT